TGTGAAGTGCAACTGTGGATTTCGACGATTCACTATCGTGAGAATATGAAGGCGTACCACAAAACAGCGCATTTATCCACACATCGCCGAAACGTCTCAGTATTGTATATATATATATTCGCTTTACCAATTCGACGGACATCCAACAAATCCCAGAAGCAAATATCACAGAATATTTTGCATTTTATTCCTATTCCTTCCCTTCCCATTTCTTTCCCGCTCAGCAGCCCCCGCTTACCCGCTTAGCGTTCTAATAAACAGGATCATCACAATGACACCAGCAATGGCAATAGCAACAATAATCAGCACATTTGCCCAGATCGGCAAGCAAGTCCCAAACAGACTCGCGTCCCCAGAATTACTGCAAATGCCGATGCCACTACTCCCGCTGCCACTAGTCCCACTACTAGTACTGCTCCCAGGAGGAGTATAGCTGCAACCGGTACCGGAGCAATACGTGCCTGCAAATAGGAAGAAGGAATATCAGCTGACTTCCATGGTCTCTCTCTCTATCGCCTCACCTGTAGGACAACATTGCCCTCCTTGTGGATAGCAGTTCACGCTGTAACTGCCGCAGCAGCCAGTGCAGCCGACGTTTTTAATGCACGAGTTGCCAGAGCAGTAGCTTCCAGTAGGGCAACAATAGCAGGTGCTACCCAAGGCGTAGCAATATACTAGACCGACACAGCAGACATCTTCCCGTGGACTAGAAATGTTCATCCCGAAGGGCCGGTCCACTATTGATGGTAGGCGCAGAGCAGTCAGATGGTTGAAATTGGTATGAAATACGAAATTGCAGTGAAAATCAAAACGAAACTGGGTTGGAATTACATTCGACCGCTGGGCGTGAAGGCACGAATCCAAGAGCAACCAGACCATTTGTGACGTGCGCCATGGTAATGAGGAAGATGAAGGACAGCGCTGTGAACTGCATCGTGCGATAGCTGCCTTTTTCAGAAGAGACTGAATTTATTATGAGCGGTTGTTGGAAGGAAAGTAATGAAACTTCTGTTGCATTGCCACAGTGCCATGGTTAAACTACGGCACAGTATTTGTATTACGTTATTGGACTGACAGGATACCAACTCGCTTACAGTATTACTGTTCGCACAACTGAAGTAGCGAAAAGAGGGCTGTGAGTGGCTATTGATATCAGTAAGTCAGTAAGGCTTTCTGAAAACACATATGTTATCTACACTGCCAGTTCAGTCGGTCAGGACCAGGTAACACCAACCCCTGAACTGAGCAAAGATTGCAAAGCGTCCAAGCGCCAGTGAGCAAAGATTGCAAAGCACGAGTGAGCAAAGCGTTCTTATCGCACTCACTACGCATAATTACTGCCTCTGTATTCGGTGTAGTTCTCCTAGTAGTTGCTGCTTAGAACAAAACTGCAACATCAAAGGACTGCTGTTTCACACACGGCAGGCATTGTTTCTACTCAAACGTGTTCGTACTCAAAAATCTTTTTAATGATGTTGGGAGAAGACAAAATCTCTATCGAAAGTGGAGTCGCTCAGATGAACGCCCGTATTGATGAAGTCATGGATTCCAGCGGAAGAGTCAAATCTGCCGTCAGAAACAAGTACACAGCAATTGAAGGCAAAATGATGGCACAAAATAATACATGGGTAAAGGATACATCGGAGTTGAGTCAAGTTAGCCAACAATTGCTCTTGGAACTTATGATGTGAGTATTTTCATCGCTGTGTACTTTTTATTTAAAATTACTGTTATCATGGGCAAGCCCGGCGGGTCTTTCGTTCGCTTGCTTTTGTATCATAAAAGCCTGATCTGCCAATCTCACTCACATCACCTGTACTCAACTTTACTTGCTCAAAGGTACTCGAAAAGCATCGAGGAAATCAGGAGCGCCAGTAACGACATCGTGTCCATTGCTGCTGACGGTGATCCCAATGCTAATCTGGTTGCTTGTGCAATCGCATTTGCTATATATATGAAAGCATATAATCCCAACGATGAAGACGGCACCCAAGTCAAAATCTCCGTTCCTGCTCCACAAAAGGGCAAGCCTGCGATTTTGAACTCTGCCAATTTGGTACTCGATCTCAAACTTGGACCTGTCGTAATGGCTAGCAAAGTAGCGCAATTCATCAATCAGGTTGGAAAGCTAGATAACAGACTCTCGACCAATAAAGTAGCTGTCGTAGAAGTCAACGAGGGTGCAGATATGGAAAAGACAATGATGTGGGCGGTCGGTGCAGCGGGATGTGTTGCAACTGCTTTATTGCAAATCCACAACCACCAATCTTTGAGACTAATTAGGGCTAAAAACGGAATTTATGACATTGGTAGAATAACGCAGGGCAACTATGTCAACGTCATCGTCAATGTCGATAGTACCAACAGTCTTGTCTCGGATGTTGCCACCGCTGTCACCAACAAAACACCAGTAGAACAGGTTAAAGAGATTGTCTCTCATATGACTGAAAACACATGCAGTAGATCAGGCTCTGACTCTGCAATTATCTCTGGACGTATTGTAAAACCAGTAGCAGCAATCCTTGATATGCAAGTCACAAACGCCAATAGCAACTGTGTCTTGGTCGTTGAAATTGAAATAACAATCATCGCTACAGACCGTAATGCCATCAAAAGATTCGACAAGATCTTTTCCGACACTGTCGCTGACGACACTTCACAAATTTTGGGGTATATTACTTTCGAAACCACTAGGAAGAACTTAAAACTAGTCATTATAGAAGATGAACTCTTAGACTTTGGTGGTTCTAGCTTCAAACGCCTCTTGAAGGTTGAGCTGGGTCAGATGTAGATGTGTGATGCGCAAATGATGGAAATGAGGCATGAGGATATGAGGAGAAGATATCAAGGCTTATTATATTAGGGTTATAGTGGGAATTGGGAGGACATAATATTTCATAATGCAAACGCGGATTATATTGAAGGCAGGAAACTTATGTTAGATTTGCTTAAAACCATGGTTTAAACAAAGCAACGAGAATCAGAAAAGAAAAATGGCGCCTTTTTAATTTTGTTTACCCAGTCGTTCACTGGTGTGTGTTTCGGCTTGTAATAGTTTGCCACTCTCGGCTACCCGGCTGTTATGTCTCGTCAAGTGTTCAAGGTGTTCAGCCTTGAGAAGCGTAGCAACACAGATTTTACTGCCCAGATGACTTTCAAGATCCTAAAGGTTTTAGTAGGAACACGTGCTGATATGAACATAACTTCAAACAATAGGCCAAGGTACCATCCATACCTCTCTGACTTTCTTGCTGTTGCTGGACGAGCACGCCAGTGCAGTTCATGGTATCGTGACACTCGTCCATAGGCTTTCAGTCCTCGAACAGTTGTCAGAGACTTCTGTGACCATGGTGGTGGTGGCCAACAATTCTCGAAAGACGGTGTCAAGAGCTGCTGCTGCTGCATGTAAGTATGTACCATGAAATAATATTTTACTATGTGAACGTGACACTGTACTATGTGATGTAACAACTCAGATCGACACTGGGTATCGTTGATTCGTTGTTTCTGCCGCAGAGAGAAACTTGACATGGGCAAGGACAAAAGGAAGTATGGCAATCTACCGAACTCATTGAAATTCAATTTTTTAACTATATTCGGATACAGTTGGCATTGAGAGAGAACTAAGTGTTCATATTCGAGTGATTTCCATAACAAATCAGTCTGCAGGCGGCGATGAATGAGGAATCCAGAGATCTACTTCCGTGAGACGGCAGATATGTCGAAATGTCTGTGACGAAAAAAAAGGCATCGTAGATCGAATCGCTGGTAAGAAGACACTCTTGACATCAATTTACGACTTGGAATCCCTTTTTGTTTGACACCAATGCTCATTCAAATCTTTGATGTTTCTATTGATTTTTCATCAAATCATATCAAGATCCTTATATTGGTATATCTTTTACGAACGGAAAAGGGTGTCGACATTGCAAATCTTTCGACTTGGATCAACCGGCGAACGTGATGTTTGAGTAAGTCAATCTTTGCCAAGCTTCGAATTTCAATCGTTTAGGACGGCGAACATCTGATTTCAAAGGCCTTGGTAAGTTTGGAAGGTTTTATTTGAACTCTGCAACAAAAGAAAAGATAAAGAGAGAGAATTCTCCAAGATGAGTACCCTCTACCCCCATTCGACTCTTGAACTGAACGATTATGTCAACATCAAAATAAGTGCACGAGAGAGTAAGACCCTCCTTACGCAAATGTAACAAATGGAACTCGTCTTTCATATCAAAATCACTGTCACTCCCATTCCTGAAAACGCATCGTGTCGACGTTATTTATGAGAAAGGAAAGGTTCAAGTACTCACAGCACTCTCTCTCTAGTACTATTGTTGCCTGTAAATTCCACCCAACAAGAAATCAATACAGACCAACACTAGTACCAAAGTCCAGAGTCAAGAATTTGGCTAGTGACGTGTATTATCAGCTAGAGAGGTGATTCTCTGGCTATGTGGAGATCCGAATTCGAAGAACAGTGTTAAAGAATCTGTGAGAATACGATGTTCTCTTTTTGTTGCTGGGGGGACACTTTTCTTGACTAACTTTGTTCTGATCAATGGGCATGCGCCATCTCTTCACAGACACCAACTTCACCGGAATCAGCTACAGATCCATGTGGAATGTGCAGGAGCAACTTCGCCTGTCCAGCCTACAGGAAGTCAAATTTGCGTCCCTCGATGTCTTGATGGATGATTCAGGAAATACCTTAATCCTACGACTGTGGTTTCACCGCCTGGTATACATTGAACTATGCGTAGTTGAGTGGTGGAAGAGAATTGGTTTTGTTGGACACATCATGCCAAAAAGAGGGAAGATTATACCGATTATTCAGACTTGGATTACTAGGCACGAGAATCAGCAAATTGTCACACATTTAAGATCCAACCCTTTGATAAGTTCTATTCGGGTCAACTGAACATACTCAAGACGAAAGTAATAATATGATAAAGGGGCCACATTAGTTTGATAAGTTTGAAATCCGAGGGATTATTACGTCTTCACACGTATAAGTTGAACTGAAACGTGCCAACGCTACCTCCAGATGCAAACCAGACATAATTATTGTTTGCTCCACAACCCCTGATAGAGTCTCCTTGATTTGTCTTATATGTGTAAACCAAGTTGCCAGCTGTGTCGTATTGACGGCCACTTCCATCACCACCGGCACTAAATATTCTATTGCCGTATCCACATAAACCAACCACACCGGTGGGTTCAGATGCTATGTTAATCTGCTTACCAGTTGCAGTGTCCCAGGTTCTAACTGTGCCGTCGCTTGACCCTGAATACACGAGGCCATTTACGACATATAGACCTCTGACTATCAATGAGTGCCCAGTGTATGTTTGGACAAGGTTACCGGTTGAGATATCATATTGGCGAATATAAGGATCGTTGTTGCCTGTACCAACAAATCTGAAGATACAGATGTCAAACATGAATCGTTCAATAAGAAATGACTTTGATTGAATACATACACGTAGGAGGAAGTGACGAAGATGGAGGCGACCTGGTCATGTAATCCAGTATATTGTCGCAAGGTTGCACCATTATAGTTGTATAGAGCTACATACCCGTTATTCCCACCTGCGAAGATTCCACTGCTAGTTGCCATCACTATGTAGTACGTTGCGCCAGAGATAGTTAGGTCTACTGCACGGCTAGCTACATCATACTGCTTGACACTGTTGTAATCGGCGATAAAAAGATAACCTCCATAGGCAGATGCACTGTATGGACTAATTCCATTTCCAGTGTCTCTCCACGAATAAACGAAGTTGCCTGAAGTGTCGTATTGATTGATTGTCCCATTGTAATTAGCTAGAAAAACTTGATTATTTGAGGATATTGCTACACCAAAGATACCCTGGGCACCAAAGACTATAGTGTTGACGAGAGCTCCGGGGCCTGGTGTAGGAGAGCTAACAGCAGCAGACGGACCACCACCACTAACACCACCACTACTACCACCACCACTACTGCTTCCTGCACTGCTACTTCCTCCACTACTAGTTCCTCCTCCGCTGCTTCCTCCACTGCTACTTCCTCCACCACTCGTCCCTCCATTGGTGCTACCATTGGCATTACTGGTATTCGTTGATGTTGCGCTACTAACAGCTGGTGATGTTGAATATGTACTTTGAGCCATGCTTGTCCCACTGTGATTGAGCTGAGTACCCAAGACTGCACCCACGATGGCCACGACTAGCACGGTGACAGCTACAATCCAAATCAAACGCCATCGTGGAGTGACCTTTCGGTTGGGATCAAAGGATACACCAGGATCAACATATTGTTTGGGGTCACTATCCACTTTTGATTGTTGTTCAGAGCTTTGGACTGTAGCAACAAAAGTACTCGTTTCCGAAGCTGGCAGGGAGCCAGAGGCGGCAGTGCTTCTAGATGTTCCAGAAACGGGTGCGTTTGATGTAATTGCGGAGCCCTGCAATATACTTTAATGCGGGTTCAGCATTCATGAATATGAGTACATGGTTTGCCTTCGTACCTTCTTTCTTCGAGCGCATCATAATCCCCTTGTTCTGCAGCAAGGTCTAGATACTTCTTTGTCAAGGCTGGATCTTTAGGCAACCCGCCCAAACCTTGTTTGTAGCATTGGCTCAAGACGTATAGAGCAGCAGCGTTTGCAGTCAATTGATATCCCTTCTGAGCCCAATAAACAGCTTCAGGGTACTCTCCTGCCGTAAAACTACGTTTTGCGATAGCACTGCAGCGGTTTGAATCCCGTATTATTTGGGGTTTTAAAGATACTTGTAAGTCCCGTACGAAAGACTTCAATTGGCTGAACAGAGATGTTAGTGCTTCACATTGATTTCTTTCTAGAAAAGTTGAGGGGACTAACCTGTCAACGACAAGGTTCGGTCCTTCTAATGCTTGAACGCCATTAATAATATCTCGAATGGTCCTTTTCTTAGGAGATTGTGGATGGCACGGGTATTCCTCTGGGAATTTACTTGCATCAATTGGTTTGGGGCGGATTACATGACTTGCGTACAAACTGTCACCAATGAAGACGGGCAAAAGAAAGGATTGTCGGGCCTCTCGCAACTCTAGTGCCGTTTCCCACTAAAAACATGTTGCTTAGCACACTCGTCATGTATTCATAGCAAGACCTAACGTACTTCTAACAGAAAGTTGTCCGGGATCTTGTGCGCAAATTTGAACTGCTCCACAGCAGTTTCTGAAATCAAGATCACCACCATTCGTGAACGACGCAACCCAAGCAAGAATTCGCTTTCCCAGGGCTCTCCTGCTGGTATGCATTCTTCGGCAAGATATCCATGTTGTTGCTCTTTAGTGGCAGCCATTTCCAAGTATAGTGTTTTGGCTAATTGCTTGTGCGTCGAGACTCGGTGACTATGCAAAATATATTTCAAATTTGTGCAAAGAAATAGGCAACGAAATACTTGCCTAATAAAGTAGTCATGGTCTTGAACATTGTGGGAGCAGAGCCAGTCCGTTTTCGTAAACCTTCTCGCAAAATATTCCAAGTCATCTATGACGGTGGTTTCAGCACAGTAGGCAACACAATATAGCTCTCGACGCACCTTTCGAATCCGGCACTGTTGGTACATATTGGTTCAGCTCCGAGAAATGGTCTTTGAGATAGTCTGCAACTTGAACTGCTGTCCATCTGTCTGCAGGTTCTGACTTCCACAGTGACTTCACAAGATCTTTAAATAATGGTGGACACGGCCATGAGCTCATGTCCGGTCGTTTACCAGTAGTCCAATAATACTGCATTCTAGAGTATGCGAGAGGAGGCGTTTCTCCATACGGACCAATACAAGAGGCGATTTCAGAGAAAAGAACACCCAACGAATACATGTCAGAAGATTCTTTTGCCTAATAGACCACAGGTAACGCTGTTAGAACGTTTGGGCTTGGAAAGACTAACTCCATTAGACGTACCGCAGAGCCATTGGTTACCAGTTCAGGAGCCATGTAAGCGACAGTGCCTAGAAAGCCGTGCGTTCCAGATAAAATACTGTCTCTCATACGAGCGAGACCAAAGTCGCAGACTTTGGCTTGTAGATTCTCGTCCAGCAGTATGTTCGCACTTTTAAGGTCTCTGTGCAACACTTTGTTCGCATGGATATAGGCTACCCCGCTCACAATGTCCATAGCAATCTGCAACCGTTTTGGCCAGTCTAGTTCCAGAATTTTGCGGTCCAAAGAAGATTCCAATCGTTCCATCACCAAATAGGACGGAGAGCCACTCTTGGCTAGAGTGACTCCATAGAACTTGACAATGTTTGGATGTCGAAGCTTGGATAGGGTGGCTACTTCGCCCTTCAAGGCGCTCACTTCCAACTGTTGGAATATGTCTGGAATTGATTTTATTGCCACTCTGGTGCTGGTGCCATCAGTGTTGATGAGGTTAGCAGCTAGAACTGTTCCTTGTGCGCCCTGGCCCAGGACGGTGGAGGGTTGTGGAATCTCCAAGGACTCCTCAGGTATGATATAGTCCATTGCTGGCGCTTGAATCTAGTCTTTCTAAGCGTTTTCAGTACTGTATATACCTCATAGGTATGTTATTGCTTTGCAGCTTGGATAAGGCTCAGCTGGGGGTTTTTCCAGTGTGCGTGTGATCAAAGCAATTACATTCCAGCCGCCGCGCCAGATGTTGTGGATTTCTGACATATTGATGGTCAGCTCATGACGCCATCTCTTGATGAAGGCTTTTTCCATTTGGGGACTCATTCGTGTTTTATAACAAGAAGTCCAACGAGTCTGAGTCGCTCTATAAGTCAGGATGCTGTGCCATAAAGGTCCGGTGTTTTGCCGATAGCTATTGATTAGGAATGGAATGTAGGTGACCAACAAATCTATGAATTCAATGTCCAATGAACTACCGCTCTAATTGCGTTTTTCCGACTCTACTGGCATACGACCAACGAAGGACTAGATGCTTCATTTTGGTATATACGGACATTCAAGCCTTTATACTATACTCCAACACCAGCATCGTCACCAGCTGTTAGTGAAATCGATGGTGGGCTGCTTGATTTGGACCTCCTGTTATGTAGGTACTTTAAACGAAAAAACGCAAACGAAGTGAAGCAAGCCAAAAAAAAATCAATCCCATATCTAACTCTACGTATAACATTTTCTAGGTTTGAAAGGAGTCCTTCCTCTAAAAGCTATTGTCACCTCACCCTACATGAACACATCGGATTCCAGGTTCCCCTTTGGTCTATACCTGGTGAGATCAACTGATATTCAATTTAATGGTCCTGTCTAACAATTTGATTTTTTGCTCTTGAGGATCCAGAGACCCCAACTTTGATTCACTTGAAGCCAATTCATATCAAAACAAGAAAGAGAGACGAGAGACTGAAGTTCATAGTTGACTGGATAAGGCAAATTGTTATTTAGGCCGTTGATGGCATTGAGTAGTACTTTAAGTCGATTTCTTGTGTTTCTTAGACACAACCTGAAATGATTGCCAGGAATCCCGAAGTTGTTGGTATTTTGGGTAGAGCGCCTCCAGAAGTCATTGCTGGTGGACGGAAGGTCGGATATGAGGAGAAAACAGAGTTCCTCGTCAGACATCAATCATGTCAGCTTTCATTTTCTGACGTTGGAATTGTATTCCTAGGCCAACAATCCCGCAGAAAATTACATCCCAAGACCGAAAGCACGGGTCAGATCATCCCCGTTGCGCAAGTATCTTCGTAATCATACTAATGTCATTGACTCGAAACGAGTGAGTTACTCTATTGCACTCACACGTCCGTGTTTGGTTGACTGATTTTTTGCCTTGATGAACATCGTGCTGATTTTGTTGTACGCCCTTGGTATAAATTCTTTTGAATCTCTTTGGTTCTGGTTGTTCTTAAATCATCCTTAACTGAGCACGGGGTGTTTGCTTACTTGTTGACTCTCATTGTCGGGTTCTTTTTCATTTTCAGCTCCTTTGGGACGCAGACCACTATATCAGACGGAGACTCGTTTGAACCAAATAAACAAATTTCCAGCTATCAGGAGAGCTGTTAGCAGTCAGTCTTTATCACACGAACTGCTGTGTTTTTACCTTTCTTGTTTTTTTGGGTCCCATCTTGTAACAATAGCTGTCATAAAATTCACAGCAACTTCGAGAGTCATTGATTTTTCGTGGACTGACTCTGAAATGACCTCCAAGAAGTCCTATTTACACTTTTTGCTTCAGTATATGCTTTCACGATGTTTATTTAAACCCACATCACCTTCAGTGGGAGAGGCGAGTAACCAGAGCGGTCATTTCTGACATTATTGCTCTAAATGGAAGTAGTTGACCTGGAAGAGCGTTAACTTTGTGTCTTTTGGTGTTCAATTGTTTCGACATTGCGGATTTCTAACGATATTCGCTTGGACACTCAGCAGAAACTAAATAAGCGAGCAGACAGGTATTGTTTCTAGGTCTCCTGAGATTCGGTACTCGTTCGACGCGCTGAACTGGCCAAATGAGCTTACAGCACGAACAATTTTGGAAAACGACAAGTTAAGTTTGTCAATCTTACGTTTTATCTACCTTTCGAAGGACTGAATCGACGCCGCGGCAAGTGAAAAAAGCTCGGGTCCCTCTACTTTGGCACGCTGTTATGTGGTTGGTGGTCATGTTCGCGTTTTCGTAAAGGGCGAGATGGCTGGGCTAAATCTCGCCCTTTGAGTGAAACCCCAAATTGGAAAAGAAACACTTACAGAGCGAAGCGTGGTGAGCTAGGCAAACATAGCAAGAACGTGCCGTTCCTTCGGTTGGCGGTGCTTTTCACTGAGCGATCGATACACAAAATGTGCTCAAACTTGATTTTGAGATCGTGTGGCTACCAGTATCTCAAGTATATGCACACTTCCTTCTGACTTGAGAACTGAGCAAGGATTCCTTTCAAGCGTTCTTTTTTGTTAAAATGTCATTTGCTGCTATATTACGTAGCTTCTTTCTCCGTGGGCTTGCTTTGCTTGACGGAGGTTGTTCTGTTAGAAGATTGGTCATGACTGCCTGTTGAGTAAGAAACCTATCTATTAACCAAGAGAAAAAAGGTAACATGGAAAGGTTTGGACAAGTACGTGTGTATACGTATTTGTTGCTGTATGTTATTTACATGAAGAAGGAAATATGCACAAATGAACTTATGTGGTAGTCTGCTCGTCAAAAAGGTCTCTCCTGTCTAAATCCAATAGACAAAACAGGTTCTATAAGCACACTGACAGTAGTTCTAAGTATCTCGAATCGAGTTTCAGTCTTATTCTTAGATTTACATAGGACAGACTGAATGAATGAAATAATGTTAGATATGTGTTTATCCGCTTTCTACGTCCTTTTCACCCTTCAAGCGAGTGCTAGTCTTTTAATAGGAGCAACTTTGTGTTGTGGTGATCTCAAAAGCACTACAAGTCAGCCAAAGAGAATGAAATGGAAATGTTTGTTCCAGAATCAAATAGCATGTGCCGTTGTTGGCTTTAGTAAAAAGAAGAATCCCATCACTGCCCACAGAGGTTTGACAAATATCTGTAAATCACAAAACCACTTTGCAGAGGTTTATAAAGTTGCTTCTCCCGCAGCGTAGTGTTTAGAAACGAGTTGATAAAGATTTCTATGACAACTGCCACTTTTCTTACGGCATAATCGACACATTGGACTGAATGGCGCAGTTAGCGAGAGAGCCAAATTCTCGTGATGTCTCTTGTGCGTGCCAAAGTCTTTGCATGTTGATACTTGTCCAATGCCTCTACGACTACGTGGCCGGCTTCGGAGTGTCGAAACGTGATTTTATTGATGGCGTCATGGATAATTTATACTTCCTACCCCTCGGATGTCGCCCATTTCTCAAAGAGAATAGACCATTTGGGCGAGACCACCATTCAACGAGTACACATCGGTGCGAAAGTCGATGTAGTCACACACTCTGTGGACGAGAATATCATTCACGAATTCACCAAATTCAAGGCGTTACTTCATGTGGGAAAGATCTTTCTTTACAAATCGTTTGGCTAGCGCCTGCACAAACCGCTGGAAGTCATCTTCACGAATAGGATCGTCTGACATGCTTTTGGTTACGATCAGAAAACGGGGTTCGTTGATTTAGGTGTTTACTGTTCTTGTTCACTCTGTTGTAGACAAGTGTGCCTGTGTGGCTTGTCCGGTCACTTTGACGTCTACCATGTGAGGCTGCTGGCCTTGGATTTCAGCCTCCTTTCGCATTCGATACTTTTGGCCTTTTAGCTCCCAAAGCTGTAACTGTATTAGGTGGTATCACTGCTAGTCTCAGGTTGCTCGCGATATTGTGTTGTTTTTCGCCGGATTGGGTTCGCTATTATGAAGAGTGTGGGGCTGCAGCTAACAGCTCGCATGAGGAAGGGGGAAGCGTTTTGAAGGTTGTAGTAGTACTGTAGTTTGTACTTGTGCTTTCTTCTTTTCAGTTCAATACAACACACATGCGTTGTAATGTGCGTGATACAGTCAGAGAAGCTTGCAAATTCAAGCATGCCAATTTTATATCTCCTTTTCAAATCTAATTTCCGGGTATATTTGTCGTCGTATCTCGTGTGGTTTGGCCGTGATTCCCCGTCTAATATCGCACCGAAACTGTTGGTCAATGTTTCAGTGCTCGCTGTGCACCGGCAGCTTCAAGGCAAATCGTACACGGAACCGCCACTACAGAGAACACCACCTGCGTGAAGACTTGGTGACAGACACTCGTCAAAGTGACAATGCTGTGACTGGGTAAGAAATTGATGGGAGATTCATTTAGAACGATGAAATCTGGGATTTTCGGGATGAATCCTCATTGAAATACGTTACAACTTGGAGCTGAATACCAACGACAACGGCGCCGTGCTGCCCCGGTGTACGTCGAATGGCGCCAGCTGGTTGTTTCGGTTGGACAGACAACAGTGTACAATACTATTCGTATAGGATAGCCAGGGGCTCATAGTAATCACGCTTGGCACTTTCTTTATGAAACTTTCCATAAATACAGCCTATGCATGGTGAGAAAAGAAATGTTTTTTTGATTTAGCAGGGGAGATTGGGGTTACAGTCATATGAGTGTATTATGAAGACTGTAATGGAGTCAGCAGAAGATAGTATGTAATTGAATTCGTCGAGACTTGCATTTTCTACTGTTTTGGGGAATTGGCCGGAGCTATTAGTGTAGGTCTTCACTTAATCTCTCACGGCGATAATGAACCCGGGGTTTGATGCTGCCATCATGGAATATGGCTCTTCTATCAGCTTTACGATTGATTTACTTAATTTCGGTGGCAATAAAGCACTGCTTGACTCTTTTAAGGACGCTACTTCTTGCGGTCTCCAAATGGCTCCTCTTTAATCAGTTGCTTGACAACCTCTCATCTACCAATTTCTACAATGCACAAGCTGTCGCTCAAACAGCTTCTGGTGTCTCACACACCGCAGTAGTTAGCAGTTTTTCAGATTAGTTATTGATGGAGTTTTTCTGATTACCGATGATCACCAGTGCCCAAAGTGGTGGACTGGTATCAAGAGGTGGCATTCATACCCCTTCAATCTTCAAACCCCAATATCTGCTATAGTCACATCGCTGTCTGTTAGTTCCGGTGATAATTGGAGCTAATACCAATGAAGGGACGTTTTGCGCCTTTAAGTCTAAAGACAAACAGAACTTAAGACGCAATACAGATTAAGAACTCTATAGTGTTTGTAATGATGGAGATGTGATTCTGACTGCTGCTTCCAGAAAAAACTGTCACTGCCACAACCTCCAACACCTTGATCATTAAAAACAAGGTCGTATTGGTCTTTGGCTACAGTATGTTTCAATCGACTGACTAGGTTGGACCAAAATGGCATTTTGGATGTGTGTCGTGACATTTTGGCTGTTTGTTTTTTCTTGTATGCGTGACTTTGGTTGAACCTTGACATATCCGTATACTTGGAAATACGTGGACCACCAGAACAGAACAAATGGGAAGCAAAACAGATCAATGCCGTCAAAAAAATTTCAAAATGTCGTTCTGGTACAGGATAGAGGGTATCGGGCCAGCACTCGACTGCTAGACTGCTGAGTGAAACCGACAATGGTGGTGAGAGACCAGCGGGCGAGTTAAAGCCACATGAAAATCCAAACGTTGATATAGCAGTATTACGTGTGAGTTTTTGCCTCTGGCTATTCACGTCCGCCGTCCTACCATCGGTCAACTTCATATAACTTAAGCAAACAGGCAGCTCCCATTCGGACAAACGCCGAAAACCAATTATTAAAAGTTCTCCAGCTAAACAGTGTATGACTAGCATATTTCTCATCAACAGCAGAAGGTGGGCTCAGAGCGTGATGACGAAATAAGCAAGATCATGTTTCATGACAGCAGTACTCGATATATTCTATGAGATCGTATGAGACATTTCCGAATACTGTGTATCTTGCCTTGCTGTTGACAAGTGGTTGTTGCTGTTACTGGCACTAAATTCAAATTCTGACGCAAACAGCTTTGGTGCAGCTCACAGACCTCTATGTAAGCATTCTTTGCAGTCCACGCTCAGTGGATGCGCGCTGTAATGGATTCACGTCCTAATTTAACCCTCATGCTTGAAACGATCGAGTGGCTGTTTGGCTGTTTATGTGTAGATGTAGAAAGGTTTCGTGGTGCATTCAAGACTCGAAAAACACAACATATCACACCGAGGCACACACAATCCAAGAATCTAGACTGTCAAAGAGGTGAATTGGGAACAGTTAGCACCGGTTGTCAGAGTGTTTGATACCTCAAAATGTGAATGTTAAGTAATTGAACATCGTTTTGGATCCATACGCAAGACTAGAAATTCACTCAATCTTGAAGAAAGTACTTGGCAAGAAGCCCTTATTTGACATTGTATACTCGCAATCGTGTAACTGTGGTTGCGGAAACTGAACGTTTTTTCGCAATTTAAGAACTACAACTGTTCCAAAGGACGATACCATCCCAGGGTTCAATCATAAAGAGATCGTACAACACCACCACTATACGGTGCGTAAGTCTCGTGCAATTGGCTTGGTAATGGTCAGGGGACGCGTTCTCACGGCAGATTCGAGCTTGGAACACAAGAAACCACCTCGGCTAGCTGTAGAGGACGAGAATCTTAATCCTGATATCGTGGATTGGGTTAATGGCTGCTGAAAAGTAGGACACGAGCCCACGTTAAAGCATACGCTGGTTTTTTTGGCTCATGCATTGTATTGGGATTATAGTGCCGCAAATTTACGATTGTTAAAACACTTAAAACCCGCTAATGTTGCTAATTACTCCCCATATGTTACTGGTATTACGTTTGCGTCTAGTGAGGCGACTACAATTTTCTTTTGGCTCATGCATTTTATTGGGATTGTAGTCCCGCAAATTTACGATTATTACAATACTTAAAACCCACTAAAGCTGCTAATTACTCCCCAAATGATACTGGAATTACGTTGGCGTCAGCCCCTCAACTTAGTTGTGACCAACCACCACCCCATCCAGTGAAACCCATGCTTCTTCCCCTACTATATTAACTACCAGTGAGCCGCGACTGACACACCATCGTTCCTTAGAGCGATCCTTAGCGCGACTGCGTCCTAATTTTTTTTTTGCATAGTCTGGGGATTCCTCGTAGTGCTCAATCTCAGTAAACATCCCATGTCATTCATCGAAAGCAAGTAGCCCGGTTAGCTCAGTTGGTAGAGCGCGAGACTCTTAATCTCGATGTCGTGGGTTCGACCCCCACATTGGGCGAATTCTTTTGCTACTCTATGGAGAACCCATCGTGGAAACTGTTCTTTTTGACGTATTCATGTATTTTCCGACACGTTAGTAGTATCATCAGTAGTATGGTCTGTGGTGGTATCGATCGATCTACGGTCTCGTTGACTTCTTCTTCCTTGGTTTGTAGCCCTTGTATATCGCAAATGGGTTTTCGTGGTTCGTGGGTGGTGGTTTCAAAACCACCCAAGCTGTAAGACTTTCTGAGCACTGGGCAGAGATGACACTTGATGGAAATCGACACACATTCACTGGCTAGTTTATCTGATGGGTTGCTCGCGGCAGTTGCTGGACATCAACTTTTTTTTCACCAAGGGTTTTCGTCAAAACTTCGATTGGATTGGATTGGATCAAACATTCATCGTCGGAATTTCGAATCGTGATGCTATCAGTCAGGAAATCGCCTCTTGGGACTCTGGTATGTCGCTTGGATGAGATTTCTGCTGTTGTGTGAAATAGTTTAGCAGTTTAAAGGCTATTACTTCGCAACGAAATTCGAGGAATCTTGAAGATCAATGTATAGTGTGTTTGGTTTGCCAATAAATCGGTTTAAAAGTACTTTCAACTCGTTTCGAACCCACATCATCATACTGATTTGAGGAAAACCACAAAGCATCTCAACCCAATCGGATCCTCACGTCCGTAACAGTTCAGCAACATCTAATACACAATCATTGCCAAATCACCGTCATTCATCCTTCATCTTTGACCAACTCTTGCTGCATTGATGCATACGATGGCTTGAGCTATTGGGTTCAGCGGCGATGTGTTCTTGTCATGGCCATCATGTGGATTTCTAAACAGACCTCTGGCACTCTTTTGTCGTTTCGAGTCTGACTCCAGGTCCACAGCTCATCAAACAAACCCCCACAAAAACTGCCACTTGGGTCAATAATAGTCGAAAGGATCTAGCTCTCGTTTATGAGAGATGGGCCTCCAGACATCGATGGTTTAGAAAAGGGGTGTTTAAGAAAGATGAGGTAACTGATCATGGTATCTCAACACTTCGACCTTTGAGATTCACTTTACAAAAGATTCGACTTGATCCAAGGGAATAGAGGTAATTTATAGAACTGCCATATTCTCTTCGTCAGGAAAAGCTTTCGTTTTGACCTGCTCAAGTTATTAAGTAGCTTCGAACATGTCAAGAGTATGATCTGTAGTCAACTGATAAAACGTCTCCTTCGCATCTTCTTTCTTTAGGGGGAAAATGTCTAACAGTAATCCTTGTCATCGGTAATGTCGTTGAAAAAATAAGAAATTCGAGTATAATTTGAAGGGTATTGTGTGAGGACTTGTGGTTTGCGCCCGTTTACAATCAATCGAGTCCTGTTGAACGCCGACCAGGCAATGATTCTACGCGATTAGTGATGATTTTGGTAATAAACCGCGATACGAATCGATATCAAAGACAATTCCACGTGTTTGAGTGCTGCAGCTTTCCTTCACTCACCAAACGTCTATTCCAGAATCCAAACATCAATTAGCAGCAACTTGAGCCTCCCACTTCCCACATCAACTCGAGGAGCCAATAAGCCTTACTAAATTATAATCTACATTAAAAAGCCTCGAAATGTCGGAAGGAGCAGCGCCCAGCAGTCAGGACGATGCACTAAAGGACACATTCCGCATCTTGCTGGCAACCGACAATCACATTGGATTTGAAGAAAAGGATCCGATTCGAGGACGTGATTCTCTGCTGGCCTTTGAAGAAATATTAAAGATTGCTCAAGAGAAAAGCGTATGTGCTTGTCTTTGTTACTTATATTTGAAATTTTGTTATGTGTTTTTGAGCTTAAGCTTCATGTTGCCACTAACTGAATGCATGTTTTATTCACATAAATCTACTATTGTACTCACTTGAATTTATGTTTTTTTTTCAGGTTGACTTGATCTTATTGGGTGGCGACCTCTTTCACGAAGCTCGACCATCTCGCCAAATGATGTTTGAAACTATGGGATTGATGAAGCAGTTCTGTATGGGGAATAGGCCGGTTTCGTTTGAACTGCTTAGTGATGAGAAGGAGATGCTGGGATCCAAGTAAGATGATCGTTAGATGAAGCTTGTTTGAATGAGGTTTAGCTCACATATATTGCTACTTTCAACTAGATATGTCCATGAAGCCAACTACATGAGTCCAAATGTAAACATATCTATACCCATCTTCACTATTCATGGAAATCATGACGATCCTGGTGGTGTAAGTTACAGTGGCATGTTAGCAGTATAGTGAAACACCACAATTCATTCAGTGACGCCATCCTTTCTTTTTACTTTTGCTTCATCAGGACGGTCTATGCGCATGTGACCTACTAGCAGTCAACTCCCTAGTCAACTACTTTGGCAAACAAGACGTTGTCGAGAACATCCAAGTCACTCCTCTTCAACTCAAAAAGGGAGACACATATCTCGCATTGTTTGGCATGGGTCATATACGAGATGAGCGATTGCATCGTGCTTTTGCGCTCAACAAGGTCACTATGATGAGACCTATTGATCATAAGGACGATTACTTTAATTTGATGATACTTCACCAGAATCGGTATAATGCGCGGGATACGTCCTTTTTTGCCCGTCATTTTGAACCAACGCTCATTACTCATTGAATTTTATCGCGTTTTAAAGAGCAAAGCATGCAGCCAAGAACTATATCCCAGAAAACTTTATTGACGACTGGATTCATTTGGTCATGTGGGGCCATGAACATGAATGTCTGATTGAACCTGTAGGATCTGCTACTGGTGATTTCCAAATCATTCAACCTGGATCTTCAGTTGCCACTTCATTGGCAATTGGAGAAGAGAAACCAAAGTAGGTGCTGTGTTTTTTATAACCAATCAAATTGGAGTGAAAGTGTACGTCTGTATGAAACCAATTAAGTTGGAATGAGATGGCATATCACTCCCGTAGATTTTTTGCTCCGTCGAAAGTATGACTTTCTCGTCTAAATTATGACTTTCTACATTTAGGCATGTTGGAATTCTTCACGTAAGAGGCAAAGATTTCGAGATTGAACCTATACGTCTCAAATCAGTCCGTCCGTTCGTCATGGAAGAAATCGTCTTGGCTGATGAGCCAGAGCTCAAGGGCACGGTCTCGAACCATGCTTATGACGATAACAAAGTCGTGAAGGTGGAAAAGATGGTTGAGTTTTTGAGGAAAAAGGTAATTTATATGTCGGGTTGACCTACTCTTTACGGAATGGGTCTTGTTTTTTTACCCCTTTCATTTAGGTCGACAATTTGATTGCAAAAGCCAAGCGAGATTGGTTGGAGTTGAATCCAGACAAGGAGGAAGAGGATGTTCCTCTACCGCTCATTCGACTCAAGGTCGGTTTCAGCAACTGTGTTTCTCTATAACCTAGCACTATCTTATTTTTTCGCCCTCAACAACAAACAGGTTGAATACTCTGGTGGATTTGAAAGCTATAGTGGTGCTCGATTTGGAGGACTCTATGCTGGAAAAGTTGCGAATCCTTCTGATATTCTACTCTTCCACCGTGCTCGTTCTACTTTTGATAGTGTCGGTACTGCTCGAGGTGAGGTCTATATTTTCTTTTGTTGTCATTGTGTTGAAGTCATGTTTGCATCTATCGTCATCAGATACTCATACTCAAATCTCAATAGCTCGCAGCAAGAAACAGGAACCCACAGTCCCACTCCTTCCAAAGGAAGCAGTACTCAAAGTCGAGGATGTAGTCTTAGAACATCTACAAACTCAGAAAATGACTGAGCTTCCCGAGAATCTTGTCATCAAAGCTGTTGGTGAATACGTTAATAAGGGTGATAATGATGCTTTCAAAGAGTAAGTTACTCTGTCCTAAACTGTCTTCAGATTCTTTTTGTTGTTGTGACAGTTCACACGCTAACATCCCTTGATGTCGAAAATAGCTTCTTTAAGAAAACAATCAACTACACTGTTAAAAAGATAAAGGATAATCAAGAGGCAGTTGGTTTTGATAATGCAGCCTTTCTCAACATGGTAAGTTCTATGTTTTGATATCTCAAGCGCTCAGCTCACAAATTCAGTGTAACATCTGGTTTTATTGCTTCACTCGCACGCTCATTTCAACAATATCTTCTAGGTTGAACAAGCACGTAAGGACAAGTACGACGAAGAAGATCCCGACAAGTCGCCAGCTCGCCCCCGGCAAGCCAAGCGCAAACATCAATCGAATGATACAGATGAAGATGACGATGAACAAGACGATGATAATAATGATCAACAACGTAGAGGTAGAAACGATGATGATGACGAACAAGACGACGGACCAACCCTACAACGTCGCAAGAAACGTACTTCTACACCGACTGTTGATAAGATGGATGTCGATGGGTCTGATGAGCCTGAAGATGACTTTTTGGTTGACGGTGATGCAACACGTCGAAAAGCCAACCCTGGTGCAAGTGGTAGTAGTACACGTGGACGTGGTCGTGGTCGTGGAGGGAAGGCTGGAACATCTCGGGTTGGTGGTACTGCTGCTGCAAAGAGACGGAAACGAAAGGTATATGCCTCACGCACCTCTTGAAGCCTTTTACGTTCTTTTTTCGTTGGAATTGAATATGTTTTTCAATCACACTTAGGATGATTCAGAAGAGGACACGGATATTGATGATGAGTTTGATATGAAGCAGGAAGATGAGGAGGAGGCAGATGAGACTCCTAAACCACCACGAGGGTAAGCTATACAGTTTTGCGCTATAAAGAAGCCAAAAAAAAAAACAAAGTTGTTGCGAAAATTTGTACTAAAATCTTGTTACTGTCCCAACTCCTGACACAGATCTCGAGCGTCATCTGCAACAACAACAAAGAAACCCGCTGCCACAAAAGCGACCAAAACTCGTCAATCAACTCTATCATTTGCACCTTCACAAGCACCTATAATGATAGATGACGACGATGAAGACTTTGAGGACGATCCAGATAGGATTCCTTCAACAGCTGCTTCCACAAACACATCAACTACAGCAAGCAGCAAAGCAAAGGGTAAAGGTAAAGCTGCTCCTAGTAGCAGTGTCAAGTCTTCAACTTCTTCAAAGAAACCACCACCGCCAGCTCCACCATCAAGTGGTAGATTAGCGTTTTTGAAGGGTCGATGAAGGGAGCAAGAATGAGTTAGTAGGTTTCGCTGTTGCTTTTGTTGGTGTTGTAGAAGAGTAGCATGTCATGAATATATAGATGTCATCAAATTGCAAGTGAGCAAATCCTTCGCCTTCTGCCTGTGCTGTTTTTGTTCTCGCGTTCCGCAGCCCTCACCAGAACGCTTCATCAGCTAGCCGTGCAGCTTTTGGAGCACCAGCGGTTGACAGTAAATATGTGCATTAGAGTTCCTTTCCTTAGAGTGATGTGTACAAAAAAATGGCTGAAGGACATAACTCCATGCATCCATCAACACTCACACGCCACCAATCCTCTTTTCATACCCATCAACAACACCTCCAAACCCTTCGACACCCTTCTCCACCGCCCCAACATAATCCTCAGCAATAGATAGTTTCAACACCACCAATTCCTCCATCATCTTCTTATTCTCGGCTTCGATTTCCAGGATACTTGCTTCGAGGCGAGCGAGTTCCGCTTGTTTGGCTGATATGCGCGATGAGGTTATTATTGTTGATGGGTGGGGTCTGGTATAAGGGAAAAGATGATGTGTATAAGCGATATGAGTTTTATGGAGGCAAGTTTTGGTGGTATACGTACTTTTCAGATGGCACAACGACGTTATTCAGTTTATCGGCTTTAGCTTGTTCAATGGAGTTGTCCCAGGCATTGAGCTGTTCGATTGCGTTGTGGTGGCGGAGTATTATTTCGAATTCTTCCTATAGTATATGTGTGCATGTGTGAGATTTATGAGGGCACAAAAAAATCTCGAAAATGAAGTTTTCATAGGTTCAACACCACAACGACTTGACAATCACGACATGTTAATACATACTTCAGCAGAATTCTTCATAAACGACAGCATCTCCACTCTCGCAGACTCGAGACTGTCTGGATTGTCTTGATGTAATCGTGGGAATGCTTTTGCGAAATGCTCTGGACTGTGGAGAGGATGAGGTAGATCAGTATCTACTAACTGGCACATATAATGTAATACTATGATATAGAGTTGATCTGAGTATGTATTATGCTTACGTGCATCCTATGAGGGTATGATCTAGCGAATAAGTCATTGCGTTTCTGAGTTTGGTTGCTCGTGGTCCTGGAGTGGATGATGATGACGTTGGAGTGTCGTTGTTGCTAGCGGTGGTAGGAGCAGTGCTTTGCTGCTGATCCATTTCCATCATCATTGCTGCCGTGTGTCTGCTGCTGCTGCTTCGTGTGTTGTAAGATTTGACTAATATTCTGACGGTAAGCTTTTCTGCGATGGAAGGAGTAATAGTCGAAAACGCGTCGCATGGATTATAGATTCATTCTGTATTAAATTATCTTCATAGATTCAAATACAAGACAATGTTTCAGTACTGTCAAGATGTTGGTCTTTGATAGAATACACTAGTCATGGATAAGACTATGGTATTGAGTAGTGACCTATTTTCTTCTTGTTTAACTCAAAGAAATTGAAACCTTCCATAGAGTGGAAAAGGCCACAGAGTGTATGTAAACGAGTGTTAACTCTTATGAGCAAAGTAATCAGTCTGAAGAGTAGAGTATCACAACACTCTCATCTCCAACCGACTAATGCATCCAATAGGAGCATAGAATGCTACCACAATCCGTCAATCACTTGATAAAGTCATCCATAGACGACCCGGTGTTTTAATAAAGTGATTCAACAAACCCAAAAGTAAACAGAGTAAGCCTCGTTGAGTTATGAAATCCAAACATTTTGAAAGCATACCGCATTCCAAATAGATCTCACAATCGACATAACTGTTGTGCTTTATGACAAACCCCTGCAACTCCTTCCATGTACAGCTAACAAACGTATCTTTGCCTTGGAAGGAGTAATTAATATGCAAGATGACCCATACAGATTGATGGCGACACTTTCTGTCAATTGGTCCGAGGACTTTCCCCCAAAGATGATAAATGTGCTGTTAATGATGTTGTAAGTGAGATTGCATGCCATCCATCCAATGAGTCAATGCGTGTAAATGTGTTATAAGACACATTAATAGAGCCCTCGTATCCCTTAAAACATCGTTAGATGCTTGGTGTTTTTTTCTTCTCGTCAATAACTACATGATGCTACTCCACAGAATAGCTACTAGTTGATTGATGTACATTGAATCTCAATTGAATGGATGCATCAATACACATACTGGCATCTTCATTACAAGACGTTGTGAGCTTTGGAAGTCGATTCTTTGCGTTTTTTTGGGTTTGTTGAATGGAAGGGAGTTTGGAGGAGAAAAAACCATGAGAAAGTTATTCAGTATCGAACAGCAAATCTGTAAGGCGTACTTATTATATTGGTAAACTAGTTTGATTATATTTTTGCGCTCGTTTACAGACAGTGCAAGAATACCATTATTAGATAGGACCCCTGTGTTTCTCAAACGGAGTTGGGACCGTCTATGCCCACATTGCTAATGAGACTACAGAAAGAAGCATCGTATTGGTAAACGCAGCGTGATACACATAAACTTCTAAGCAAACTTCAAAACAATCGACTTGTCCCTGTGAGGTGCTCCGTGTTTTTGACAGTTGACAGACACCTCGTTTCAACAAACCACTTTCGTGGCATCTCCATCATTCTTCGCTGGACAAGCGCCTCTACTACCAGAGTTCAAGACACTTGACCCCCAATAAATACCACGAGGAGCACTTGAGGCTCTCGACGAAAGCGGAGGTGTTTTGCACGAACCCGTCAGCGCTATGCTGTTCAGCATCTCGTGCTCACAGAGACCGTTTCTCGCAGGGTGCCCTATCCACTGCAGACGATGGTGGTACGCCGTCCGTCTCAGTTTTCACGCTCATGGGTAATAGCAACGGTACTTGATGCCATATCTGATGGGTAAGATATGGCCAACCATAAGTCCCATTGAATAGAATATATGCATGCGAAGGTAGCGGATGGTCACTGAGCGGCTCTTTTCTCCTTTGCTGAAACTTGGTAGCCTAGGGTGAGAAATGAGAAAAGTGAATTTGGTTGGAACATTTGGTATTTAGCGAGTATAGGCTCGCCTTTAGTAGGCAGAGCAATCACCCATGCTTATATCACATACCTATAGTTGGCTGGATGTCTGGCACTTGGTCCGATAGGCCTTCTTCACCAATTCCTGTTGAATTCTTGTTGAATGGTGAGTAGGAATTGAAGACGCTGCTCTCAACAATTTGGTGGTAAATTCGGAGAGGGAAACGAAGAGCAAACTCGTGCTTTTGAGGTGTCATACGGATTCTGTTATCACTGTAGTGCACATTTTCAACAAGCGACACATGGAAATATACACATCAGGCAGCTAGGAGTACGATACTGGCAACATGTAAACAGTCATGAATAGTATAAGCTGGAAGAGTCTCGGCTTGTCAGATGATGTAGTACTCCTTGTGTTCAACATCATTGCGGCAAATCGCAACCTCATCACTTTGGCAGCCTTGGCATCAGTCTGTAAAAGATGCAACGAGACAATATGCATGACATTCCTCTATAAAACGCTTGATATCAGTTTTTACGCTCCAAGGCAATCAAGCAACCACACCTGATGCCATATCTTGTTGGGAAATATATGGCATGCAGAAGTGTGGATGGTCACTGAATGGTTCGGTTTGCATCCATAAATGTTAGCGTCCTTGAGTCCAGAGTCCTTGTAGCGATGGCCTGGAATTGACAAAATAAAGGTGTCAGTGGTACGAAAAACAGTATCAAGGTGCTCTGAGATCACTATCTAATCCAGTGCAAACATGCCTGTAGCGGCCTGGAGGTCAGGATCTTGCTCCAGCGACCCTCTCTCCAGTCCTCTATTGAGTTCCCGTGGATCAGATGTTTGGAAGTGAAGGTGGAAACTTGGCAGAAATTTTAGCGATTTAATCAGGGATGGGGGAGACACTTACCAAATTAAGAGAGAAAAGACTTGTTTCCGAGTCAATCCACAAGTTGCTTGTTATTGAAGTATTGGCCAGCCAGTTGAAACACGTAAAACGTACTCAAAAGTAAGTGGTGTTCGGAAACAGCCAAAGGCTTGATCCAAGATTGATAGAGCTTACTCGTCAAAGATAATTTGCTGCTACTGAAAGCTCCATACGGATTGTATGAATGAGTCTGAACGAGCTTTCTGGTCTCGGAAACCAATAAGCACTCGAACAGAAGTTTCTGCGAAGCACAAGTTTGAAAATAGCGTATTACATATACGAAAGGAGAAAGAGATATAATAGATCGTTCATTCCGACCGCATATGGATGAGGTTGTTGAGCCAGAACTACTCGAAAGCGTCCAAACTGAAGAACTGTAAGCTCTTCAAGCTACGCCTTCAACCACAAAACCATTATTGAGGAATATCTGGGCTCCTTTTATTTATACGTACTTTGCAAGGGTAATCAACTACAATAACATAGAACACTTCTGTACAATCTATGCTAGACCATTCACACTTTCACCACCTCACTTCAACCACGTTTACTAACCGCCTTATACATTTCAACCAACAATGGCATGTTCCCTACATCCTTGGACCACAATTCAAATGATTCCGACTCTGCAATATCTACAGTTGCGATATAATCGAGTACGGCCTGCTTCATGACATAATCATCTCGAGAATATGTGCCAGAGCGAGTAAGCATATTCAAGATGTTGTCAGCCTGCAAGTCACGAGCCACAATTGCGTCCAATACCATGTGGAAGAGTTCTGGCAAGTCGTAATAGTCAGCAGCATCGAGTATTTCGATACGAAGAGAGGCTTTTACGTCCTTTTCGTCGTTTTTGGCTTCTTTGGCATTGGTTGAGGGTACTAATTCAGCTTCAATATCATTATCGGATTGAGAATTATCGTCTCCATCGTTATCGTCTTCTTCTAACTCAGCATCGTCATCATCGTCTTCTTCTACTTCAGTAGCGTCATCGTCATCTTCGTCATCGTCCTCGTTTTCGGTGATGTCTACATCAGCATATTTTGAAGAAGGTTGGCTTTGCTCTTTGACAGGTTCATCATCACAG